CTAACATCACAGTAGGAATAAATTGCGGAAATTGAAATAATAAGTGGAAACTGTTTTCTTTCTAAACATTTTTGACTCATATCTAAGGCACTTGGTATGAGATAAAGGACATGTATACATGTTGTTGATTAGTCTATATTTAGAGCAACAACAAGCTTATAAAGCATGGAGAGAATTACGAGCATTACGATGCGTACAGTACTCAGAAACCACGTTTGCCTGATCATCTTAGAGAATCCGATGGTATAGTGATGTTGTTTTCAATTCTTACCTCGCTAACTTCAGTTATTTTTTATGAAAGTTATTTTAACTCGAAAATATGACGGACAGAAGAGCTAAATCACAAAACTGTTAAGCAAATGGCGTAACGACACAATCCCAGTGCGTGGAACAAAGTAGGGAGAAGCGTTGGTATTGCGTGAAGGGGACATTATAACACTTCCTAACATTTTGTCAGTACGAAGTTGGCCTTCTCAGAAAAAAAATCAATTTTCACCATAATTCTGTACCTGATTAGTTGAAAAAAAGCTGGTCCCTCAAACGTCTTCTGTTATATCAAAGACGCAGTTGGTTTCGCTTAATTCGAACCTATAGCAAAATTAAATTGGTTAAATGAGCAATAACACCACCTTACACCAAACTTTCTAAAATAATCTGTATACTTGTAGCTAAAAAAACAGCTGTAAAGACGAAGTATATTTCACGACTCATCCTTATCCATCGCATAACACGACGTGCAGCAGCATGTTGGAATGTCCTTCCCATCTAGTGATACACATCGGAACTCTTTAACTCTAATTCTAACTTAAGCTACTACGCAATTTTTCGCTATCTTTGTTGAACTGCAGCTGGGCAACACAGGAAGTGATGCACTTCCGTTGTCTGAATAGTAGACACTAGTGGTCGTGAGAGCATTGAAAAGTTTCCTACAATGGAAATGGAAATTTCTGGACCGTGGATGACAAAATCGTGGTATATCTCTTCGCTTTGTTTTGTAGGCACACTGGGCTGGTTGTACCCATAGATGAAGCTTTCTAGTGAGTTTCCACGAGAACTGAATTAAAACATTCTATTGAATTCCGAGTTCAGTTTCGCATATATTGCTAAAATAGTGACGAATAACCTAGACATATTGATGTAAATGTAACACTTGAAGGCTAAACTTGAAGCGTCTGTCAGCCATTGTTTCGTTTCTAGTGGTTGAAGTAATCTGTTTCAAACTATTATTTGTGATTGTGTTTTATTGCTTAGCCTTAAACTGCAGTTCCACAAGCTGATCGTTCCATATTGCTTCCTTCTATTTTCAATTCTATTTCAATCCAAATTTAGTCCCTTCCTCAGGTTATCTTCTGCGTCGAATAAACGTTGCAGCAGCTAAGCATATGGTGTAGTCTCAGTAACTGCTGACATTTTCATTATGACTTGTTCTGCATCATGTAAGCAGGTTCATTGGAATTATCTCGGCTTATTGGAGGCCTTTTCATTTCCTTGCACTTTAAAACTTCCCCATTTTTCCTAGGCAATGGTGGTTTCTTATAATATGGAAATACTGCACGAGGAATAAATGTTCCATATTTCGTTTCGCTTTACTTAAATCTTTACTTAAATCTCGTATTTTTCCAAGCATGCAACCTCAGGCACTCCATTGTAACCTAACTAAAGCTAAAAACTTCCAAATGACGGTGTCGCATCCAAATGTGATCTTTCAAACATATAATTGGTAAAAGGGCCCTTCAACGGACATTCACCAAATCTCGGTGCTAAGCACACTTGCTTTTGTGGTTATCTGATAAATTTGCATAACATGCTTTTACATTCATTTAAATTGCAGGCACCTCTACGCTCTGTTCAACGAAACCGTTTCTCTCTGATGTTTTTAAAAAGAATACACCTTATTTTAGTAGAACGGCTACGATCAATGACTGTAGACAGCTCGATTTCTTATTCTGAAAGTCGTATTGGAGGTTTCGACGTTCATAGTGACAATGGAGGGTTCATGGCACGTTTGTCTTTTGCTGTCAAATCTTGTAGCAACATGAAATCTACGGTGGAATTGATATAGAACATTACAGGGTGAGGAGATAAACCTATATCATGACGAGGTGGCTTACACAAGGCCCATCCAGGTTAAGTAAACTATTTTCAATACTACAGGCTATGTCAACTAACTACTGCTTATTTGGATACTTCAACGGTTCGTCTTCATGAGTTGTGCGGACCTGAGCGCACTTTCCATTCGTTTCTTTTCCTCGGAGCACTTGACTACGATGATGGTTTGATTCAATCATGGTGACGGGTGCGGGTCTCATACCGTTATCTGTAAAACACCGGTATCTGTGAGTACAGTTGACCTATTCTTGTTACAAACTCGTCTGCCACAACGTGTAGGTGGTTGCTCTAGGGCACCCATAGATCTTCGTGTAGTCACTCTAGAGTTCTTTTCGTCTATCTGTCGTCTGATTTTCTCATTATTTGACCACTCAACTATGTTTCGCTTTCGATGTGTGTTCGCATGTGTCTCGAAGATGAGTTAGACTTCGAAGATTATAGCTTCTCAGTTGCCAAGATCGACTTTCTATTAACCTTGGCATTGGATAATGCGTCATTTTCTTTCTCAGCAATCACGACATTGTCATACAACATAAATTTACTTCCGTACAAAAACTGTTTTTGTACGGAAGTAAACGTGTGCTGTATAACAACCTTGCGATTTATGAGAATGAAAACGGCGCATTTGCATCTTCTCTTTCCAGCAAGATATTGAGTGTGCCGGTTATATTTTGGAAGACATCGTTCTAACGCTCTGTGAGTAGTCTGCACTACTGTTGACCTGGTTGAAGTATTAGCCACGTCTCAGCTGTTTAACAAAGTGCTGGGGGACTGTTCAATCGAAAAGACGGGCTCGGATTTTCGGGTCCTTTAGTTGGTCAGCGGCTTCTTTGAGAGGCCGAGTGCAACCCATGTTTCCCTCTTTCTTTTGTCCAACTCCTCCTTTATGTTGTCACTCATGTTTATTGAACGTCCCAGGTACACGTACGAGGTGAATTGTGCAATAAGAGAACCATCCACTTCGATTTACTTGCCTTAACATATGGGTTGTTCAATATCGGGGTCTTCTTACGATTTCTCCGTAGTCTCCACTTCGTTGGTATTTCTTGAGAAGATGACGAGGTCATCCACGAAACGAAGATTTGCTAGGAATCTTCCATCAATACGTATGCTCTTCTCGTCCATGACTTCACTTATCCGCTGCGTTGCGACAGTAAACAGCATGATTGTGTCGCCCTGTCGAACCACTTTTCCTATGGACATGATAAGGTGTCAGTGAATAAGCTGTGTATTTGTATTGCAGTTCCGATAGTAGTCTGCTAGTATTTGTATAGAGGGCCGGCCCATCTCTTGATCGACGATCGCTAATAGAATTCAATTCTTTTTTACACTGTCAAGTGCATTTTCATAGCCGACAAAGTGCGTAATACGGGAGGCGGTGTTCCTGACAAATTTTACGACACTGGACACGGTTGGGATATGGTCTGCGGCAGCAAAATCGCTGTCAAAATCCCACTTGCACAACTGGCTGTGCCTCATCCAATGTCGCTGAGATGCGCGACATTTTAATCTTACTGAAGAGATGGTAGAGTAGTACACTGGACAAGCATATTCAGCGGTAGCTATGGGGACCTTTCGGCCACTTTTTGTCTGAGATAACCGTGACCAAGTCCTTCATTATCCTGAGTTTTTATCTTTGTAATAGTAGGATGTCATGTGGTTACGAGAAGCATATGTAATTTGACGCCTCCAGCTCTACGAAAATCGGCGGTGATATTATCAAGTCCTGGAGATGTGCCTCTCTTTGTGTATCGCAACATGAATATCAGAAGTTAGATTCGCGGCTAGTTTTTCACCAGAAAGTATTTCGAGGTCTGGAGCTATGGAGGCTTTGGAGCAGAAGACAGTGGTATGAATCTTTCCCGTTATCAGTTCTATCTTATGGCGGGATGCAGTAATAGTCTTATTTCCTCTCATCTGGGCGATAGTGGGACATGATAGTCGCAAAGATCCCGACAGGAATTCTTCAGATTAGATTGTTTTTGAGCTGCTTCTAACAGTTCCTTCTACCTGCACCGATATTGATCTTTCTGAGAAGCTCTTCTGCAACTTCCATTTGTTACTAGCCGTGTTAAACATGTTACTATAGGATCAACCTTCATTTTCCTTTTCTTCTTGAACTTCTTACTTGTAGAGCAGAGGCGAATGACGAATTTTATATCCTTCGACAAACAACCCGTGGTCTTCGGTGGGCTCTTTTCTAATCTGCTAGTCACTTTTGGATAGGATTTTGCTCATGTTCTAGCCGTACATGGCTGAAATTTTCCTTTATGTTTGACGACTTGAATTATTTTCCAGTTTGAGGCAGAGTCCAGTGTTCCGTCAAAGAACGCAGTGATTGGACTCAGTAGAGAATGATGGAACTGCCGATGTATTAAGCAGACACCATCTTCAATTTGCCAGAATATGGTCAGTCTCCGCATGAGTCGTGAAGTTAGAAGAGTCCCATATTCAGCTGCACCTTTCTTCTAAAAAAGCAACTTTCCATGGAAGGTGCCTGCTGCAGACAGGAGCCCTGCAAGACGGTTTTCATTCTTACTTCTTTCTCCTGCTCTAAAATTTCTGATTCCGTATCCCACTCTCGTTGATGCTTCCAATTTTGGCGTTGAAGTCACTGACGATAAATTTATAATAGATTCATCATCGCGGATGACTTTCTGCTGATAGTAGAGCTTATTTAATTCATATTCATCGATTAAATCTGTCATTGAGTGGCACTTGATGACAGTGATCCTTTTGTGATGCGTTCGCTGAAGACGGATGATGCAATGGGAAAGTATCTCGCAGTAGACGACACGATTGAGAGTACCAGCTTAAAATTCAAAATAATATAAAAATATATTCAGGAAATAATTAAACCATCAGATCCTATCAAAAGCGTCACGAATGAGATGGAAGAGATGTTCAAGTTGCGCCAGCTCAGCGACGAAGTAGCAGCGGCTCAAGAACGCCAGAGAGTGCTCACGATGCAGGTACACACATCCTGCTGTTGTGAACACGCAATCCGTTAACTAATGTCGTTTCGATGTCCCAAACTTCTATATTGTTTGGATAATTATCACTGTTTTAGATCTAATGCATCACTTAACCTATAAAAAATGTGTTTCCCTATTGATCATGAGGCAAATCATGAACGAATCAGTAAAGCTTCCATTTATCGCTGTTGTGTTCAAAAATGTAGGGGGTTGTACTAGCTCTGAAAACTCCAAGAGCTTCGCGTTTTTCGCAAGATATTTGTAAAAAGCTGAACATTCGATTAGTTGTGTTGATGCCATACACTTGGCATCGTTTTATACAAAGTGGCTGCGTATACTCGGTTGTTTTTTTCTTAATCACTAAACCAGCGATTTTTTTTTTGAGCTTTTGAGGACGCTGGTCACCTTCGGCGCAGTTCTGTAGGCAAACCTTTCTTCAGGTTAATTTCTTGACGCAGACATATATAATTGGAACGCTCGGGAAAATCTTTATATATTCTTTCAAACTGCCGTTGTTGACCTGATGCGAGCTTGATATAACTTGTCGTTGTTGTTGTTGTTGCTGTTGTTCGTTGGCTGACGTTTCGGCGACTACGTCTTGCTCAGAGTCTGGATGCAATTTACGTAACAATAGCCCTATAATTCGGCAAAATATATATATTTTAGTTTTCACATATATATAATGTTAATGAAGATCTAACATATAAATGAACGCCATTTTGTCTGAAAACTACTCACCGTGTTGTAAAAAACTACTTTGGCAAGGCCTTATAGGCTTATGGAATCCTGGCTGGACATCTCTCCTCTTTGCAATAGCGATAATGCCATCATACATGAAAAAATTCTAGTTGTAAGGTAGTTATTTAGTTACGACAGACCATTAGATACTGTTTCACGAAACTCTGGCTTTCTAAAGCACTCGCAACAGTTTCTGTCCTAAATGAGTCGAAGGGCTACCTGTTTTCTTAAGTGCAACATGGTGTTTGCATAAAATTCCTCTTGAAATTGGTTTGTTCTAAACTTATTTTTTTAGGCTTATATATGAAAGAAAAGACGTCACTGGAAGACTTAGTGAACGATTGTTCACTTGATACTTGTAGATTCTGCTATTATTTGTTCAACCGTTTTCTCGTAAACCGATTTAACAGATAGTAATCGAGCACTTGTTATAGCAAGCCTCGTTGCTATACATTTGAGATATGCAATCGATTCTTTCACTTAGGAACATATGAGAAATTCCGTTGAGAATCTCGCTTATTTTGACTTCTAACGTGACGAAAAAAAGACTAGTAAATTTCCTGTTTAGGTTAAACGTGAGCGGGCCGAAATTGAGAGCCTGCGCCTTTTGAAGCAGCAAAATCTCGCCAGAGAAGCAGCCGCTGCTGTACTGTCAAAACTGCGATCTTCCCCATCCGTGAGAGTGAGATATTACTCATTTTCGGCTTAAATAACTAGTTGTTTTAGGACGGAAATTGGATTTCGACAGATTGGAACAGTGGCTCATTTTGTGACTGTTCGGAGAAAGTGGTGATTTCACCAAACCCTTACCAACGTTGTCAGTCCCAAAGTTATCTTTAATTATAGGCATAAATCTCCCAATTTTCTTCTTTTCAGCCAGCATGGAATCCATTTACGAGGAGGAAACAGTGAAGATCAGTCTGGTCGCGGAAAACCAACTAAGGAATGGAAATATTGTGGGTTTATTCCAATTTCCAGCAGATATACTGAATTAAACAATGAACAGGAAGCGATGAACACACCAACAGCTTGTTTAGTGTACTTTAAAAAGTTCATGACATTGCTAAGTGACAGCTGGAGTACGTTATTGACCTTTTTCAATACGAAAGCTAACAAAACCAAGTTCCAACTGTATTTTGCAATTTTTCTTTGTCAAATGACCAAGATATCCACATTTGAGTTCCAATCGACAACTTACTTCAACACTTTATTCAATTCCGTCAAATAATATTCAACTGAATTTTATGTGAGGTCATAATCTATGAAGAAAAATGATGTTAGTAGTTATCATAGATCGGTACTACTGAGAACGTGGACATGATTATGCCGGAAAACGAAGTGGTGAAAGGATTTTCAAGTAATCCTAACATACGCAAAGTCATAGTTGGCGGTCGTCAAGCGGCGACAAATGAGGACAAGGTTATTCATTTAAAGCTTATTAAAAGGCGATAGGTCAGAGCAAAATAGTTTGTTCATACCCAGATGGTGTTGCTGTTCGGTCCTATTGGTTCTGGCAAAACTTCAACAATAAATAGCATGCTAAATTACTTGTACGATGTTAAAAAGGAAAATAACTTCAGGTACTCTTATTTCATGCAAGCTGCTTTATTCTGTCAACAATGTAAACAAATGCGTTTCAGATTTGTTCTGGATTACCCAGTTAAAAAGACAAATACGCTGACCGTTTACGTCATCAATAATACCATTCTTCCCTTCCGAGTAACAATAATAGACACTCCAGGTATTGTTGACGAAAAGGATGACAAGGCAGTTTCAACTCTGATTAAAAAGTGGTTCGAAAAAGTATGTCCAACTGGTAGCTTGTGTCGAGATTGGAAGATGAGTTGGATGTTTCCAGGAACTTCGCGAAGCCGGGACGGTCCGCGTGGATGCAATCTCCCTCGTGCTTTCACATAACGAAAACTCTCTTGGCTGGCCATTTATAAACGAATTAGCTAGTGTTAAACATATGCTGGGCGACGACCTCAAAACAAATGTTTTGCCCATCATAACAAATTCGGAGGTACACAGCCTAAATTCCGACATAATTATCTTCTTTTTTAGTCGTTACATGATGTATCGAGCATAACACATCCTTAATTCTCACTGCCCCCAACAATTTATTCGATTACGGAAACGAGATTTTTTAATAACAGGAGCAGTGCATTTCCATTACACTCGTTTGGTTTTTTTTTGATTTTCCACTGGTGATAGTGGCGTCGGACGAGGTAGTGTTTGCCGGTATCACCCCTGACTGACGATATAAGTTTTTTCTCCAGTTTTGAGCGAATCGATTTCATGTATGAAGGAGATCGTGATAGATCCAATAGAGGCAGGCAAATCTATTTAGTTTTCAACGAGGCTAAGGAGGTCGTTTATTTGGGAGCATATTTTCAATATTCTTGCAAATATTAATTTCCATGAAAAGGAGGTGCCTCGAACACGAGATCATCAGTACGGTTTCAGTTCCTGTTTCGCTCCCTATTCTAAATCTACTGATCTTGTGTTTACTTTTACTGGTCTTTTCTATCGTGGTGGAAGCGACCAATAACAAATTACCAGAAGGAATATTCGATGCATATCAGTTCTTCCAGGTTACCATGGTATAAAATATAAAACAGCGGTATCAGAAGACACCATTTTGATGTTGTAGAACAGCGACCTTCATCTCTTGTCGTGAACATGTTGGTTTTTGCTAAGGTTCTAAAGGGGTTTTCGTAGTACACGATTTGACGCATCGCACTAGTTACCACACCGCCAGCGGTGGACAGCGTATAGTGTGCGAAGTGCTGAGGATGATCGCTGCTATAGACATTTGAAGACCGTTGTGCATAGGAAAGAAGGTGACCAAATTCCGACTAGGTCTCTTAGTTGATGGCCCCAATTCCTCGCACTGGTTTACTGTTAGGTGCTCTTCTGGTAGTAGATACTGGGACACATCAGTTTAGATAAGTCCACTGAGTAGCATTTCGATAACCACGAAGAACTACAATCTAAAATCAATGGCAAGACAGAAAGGCGTTTTAGAATATTTCGATTGTTGAAGTTAATTCATTAATTAGAACGCGAATCAGCCTTGGGAGTATCAAGAAGGGTTTGTTGAGAAGAAAAACGCGATAAGTTGCAAATGTTAAGGTTTTGCCACCACCAACTGCTATTCGCTCCTTAGCTGAAGCAAACATTGGGTTTCTTGAATACTACAAGGTGACTTGCCAAAGTTTTCCGTTTAATTTGTTCAAACCTCGATATGTTTGCATGAAAACGTTCAGTGTAACAATCTGGGCTTTATGCCAAACGAGGACAGGATACCAAAACTGCAACACAACCTCTTCTTCACTCATGGTATTGCTTCATTTGAAGCGTATTTCAGGGTAAATCATTTTTAGTTGTGAATTGGTGGTGTAATGGTAATGAGTACGAAAGACCTACAGTTACAGGACCTCGAAGAGTTGATTCATCCGTTACTAGCAGTATTGCGAAATGGAAAGCGCTCTTCTTTCCTGCACTCACCTTAGTGGAACTCGAAACGGCATAACTTCGTAAAAGACAACGTTTCTGATACAGTTCCTTACAAGCTTTGAATTTTACTTAGGAAGTGTGCATGATTTGGGTAAAATGATAAAAGCTATGTCGGTTTAGTAGATAATATGTTGCAAATGTTGTTGTTATCAGTGGTACAATGTATACTTTTTGTTTCTTTCAGTAACATATAAACACATTTTTTACTACATGCTTATATCTGGAATGGTGCGCACATGCTTTTCTCTAACACTTAGAGTTCGAAGCCAAATTCCATGTACCTGCCGCATCAAATTTACGCCTGATTTTATTCGCCGCATTCGCTATCTGTTCGTGTTAACTAAGAATTCTTTTTTTAACTTTTAACTTTATAGACCGACCTTTCCACTGATTTTGTTATTCATTTCGCTACCTTTTGTTTCATATGTAAAAGTTGATGCATGCATACCTAATTGCTTTTGAAACATTTAGAGTTCTAATATTTCTTACTCGTGGTGAAAAACTCGTCCACTGTAGAAACAGAGTGGTGATCGCATTTGGTAGTCGACTTCACAGCGTACTTTTTTTTATACGACTCGTCATCACATCTACTGTGCGGTTCACAGCATTTCTTCTTGCATTCGACTCGTTTTGCTCGCAATCATCGTCTATAAAGGTTTTCGAACATTCCGCGTGTTGCTTCGGCTGCTGCTTCAGGAATTCGTCTTCCTTATAGATTTCGTAGAATATTGGTCGAGTCAATTCTCCTTGCAAGCCGAACTAGGGCGTTGGAGCCTGGATTGGAGAAGACCCTTGAGGAGGAAAACAGACCATCATGATTCGAAATTGATTGAGAACCAATTACTGGTAAGAATTCATTTTCATATGGTTGACACATAATGGGCGATACTGGTTTTAGAGCAGCTCTCAATGGTTTTTGGATAATTATAGCCTTTTAACAGTTGGGAACTCTTGGCGAGAAACGTTCCTCCATTTTTTCAGCAATATGCACACCTGTTCCGAACTGTCACCTCAATTCTAAGTCTAGTTTAAAATCCATACCCTCAGAATACTGAAAAACATTTTCGAAATTTCAAACCATGAAAGCAAATAAGGCAACAACAAAAACTAACTATAGATCACTGAGTATCAAGGTGTTCTATTGGATAAAATATTTTTCACACAATCGCTTCATTGTCCGACATACGTGTTGGGGCAAAGAAGTAACGTTCTGCGGGCTGCTGAAAATTGGAATTTCGCCCTGCTCGTACAAGAAACATTGAACCTTGTCTACAGAGACCTTTAGATCCAATGGTTTTTATTTGATTAACATGTTTATTTGCTAAAGTTCATGAAGTGAGATATATGTTAAAAGCTGAAAGGCTGAATTATTTCGGAGCACCTATGAGCAGTCCCAGGTACGATGACGCGGCAAATTATGCAGGTGATTCATTATAGTGGTCACAGAGGAAAAAAGAACCGATTTCTTCAAAACCTCACAAAGTGCACGGACTAGGAAGCCGAAAAAAAAACCTGAGGTCGTGTTCAATGACTCAGTAATATTCTAGAAAATCAGCTTGACGGTTTATAAGACCGCCCCTTTCTTACGAGGTTATCTCAGTGCTTTCTTTTTTTCTATAGTATCTTATGATGCTATGAAAATAAGAGCTGGACACCCAATACAATGGTGTACGTTAGATAAACTACTATGGAGTGATTAAATAAAGTGCAAGAGAAAACCTGCGCGACAAAATAACATCAGCTTACGTCTGCCCAATTGTAGAAATCCACTCTTGTCGGACTCAGAGTGCTAATTTCAAATGAATACGATTTGTAGTAACTGTTCGCTGTTCCATTCCTTCCTCATTCAAAACGAAAACACGGCAGCCGCTTTATGACCTTTCTTATCACCTAGGAATAACGAATGTGTAGCGAAACAGGCATGGGTTAATTATTAATGCCATAGCAAGCTGGAATTGGGAATCTGGCAGAGGTAGAACTGGTACAGTTAGAAACAGAACAATAAAAGGCAGATCATAAGCCATTACAAATTACGGTGACGTCTACCGAGAGCACGGTCTCGACGATTTCGCCTGCTTCACGCAATTTATAAGACCAGGGAGACGGTGGCATGCGACCAAACGAGGTCGCACAAAAAGTTTAATCGACGACCGCTATGTATACCTCATCCATTGTATCCTACTACAGTTTTCACTGCCACTACAAAGTAGTGTGGTTTGTATAGCACACACTGTTATCGAGCGCCTTGTCGTCCATGTGACCGTGCAGACGCGTCGTGCCGCTGTAGTCGCGACAGTCCCGCTGCCGCGTCAATTATAGACTCACGTAAACACACATACTCATACCCACGCACAGATCTATCCTCTTTGCATTGCGTTCCGAAATCCACACTTCAAACTCACTATATTCGATTGACAATGTCCATTTCAGTACAATCTACCATGTCAGTTAACACTTCCAATACACCTGATGGTACGGGTGTGCTCATATTCAACGGTGAAATGTACGTTTTCTCGTTTAAAACGCTCATCGTTCATTTAATCGAAGCATTGTGTCTTCTGCTTTCTGTTAAGTAGGAAATAGGACTTCAAGTTCTTTATCGGAGTGGTTTCCACTATCGCTCTGTTTACCAAATTTTACCATTTAAATGCTTGTTTATCTAAAGCAATGCCAGCACATATGGTGCGGAGTTAAGTAGCGCATAACTTGTGTTTGTAGTCACGTCCACATTAGAACACCTCAGTCATTGATTGCACCAACAATCATCTTAACTTTTTGCGTCCTTTCTTACTTTTCTTGCAATTCATAACAAATTCTATAAGGGTAACGATTTGCCTAGATGTAGCGTTGTCTATAGGAATTCACAGTGGTCCTTGCTTTTGACTACTCGTTTCGTGTTTTGATTTAATTTCGTAACAGTTTCTGCTTTGTTTCTAAGAATGACGTGTGTATAGCAAAAAGTTTCCGTATAGAGTTGGTGTGATGTTCTCGAAATTAATTCGTGTAAACATTCACACCGATTTCGCCGTTAGAGTGTGTGGCCTGAACCACTACTGTCCACTGATTTCGATAGTTAACGAAGTTGAAAAAGTGAGGCACAGATATTTCAATACCATATAAAATGCTAATTTGTGGGGATTAGTTATTTCTAGCAGACGTGGTTACTAACCACTATACTACCGAGGAGGTATAAAAGTATAAAAAAAATATAGTTATTTCTGCTATATTTTCCGCTCCGCTCCCGGACCGAGGTCACCAAACCTTCCATAGCTTCAGATTCAGTAGTTCGCTACCTGATTTATCTGGGAGGATAGCAGGATTTACTTGATACATAGGGTGGCTATCGCAAGCCATTGAATCGGTCAGACGTGCATAAAGTTATCTCTGTTATGCCTGATGAAATAGAATGCATGACGGGTACTCCAAGGATTGATGAACGTCGAAAGCACTATTTTATCCGTATCCTTACTGCTGAATGTTAGATGGATGATGTACCGATACAGACAGCATTCTGGAAGATTTTCCATCGACTGTGAATACATTTGGCATTGAATGATCATTTAGGATTCT